ATTCACTACACACTTGATAAAAGAATAGTGAGCAAGATTAATACCTTCTCTTAGCTGGAAACCTCGACTAAGTATTGTAATTTGATTCCAAGCATAGCTAGCCTAGCTAGGTTTAAAAAAATTGCTTGCTTTTCCCAGTTCTGAGGTCTGAGCATGCGCGACCACGCCCAAATTTTGGAGCACATGCTTCTTTAATTAACAAAATGGCGGCATGAGGTAATTTGGACTAACCCAGCAGACCATAGTATCACTTCTGCCACCTTGGAGAATGATCTGATGGGACATGGACCTGCGCATAGACTGTTGGAGTAGAATGGTGTAAAAATTAGCTTTTTACTACCAGCCAAGATTGAGATACAAACGGACAACTGGATTGTGAGGAGAAGATGACTAAGATGAAAAAAAGTGGCTGAACAAAACGGCCCGTTTTGCCGATTTTAAACTTTTTATAGACAAGGTTTAGAGGCACGCTAGTGGTACCAATGGAGTCCTCTGGTCAAGATAAGGTCCTCTAAGAAGTCTGGTAAGCATAGGAGCTCGTTTTCCCGGTATAGCAAGGGTGCAAAAGTCGTGGCAGCCATTTTGTTTTGGGGTGAATCCTACTTAGTAACGCTACCGCGTTACTAATAGTACAGGGACTTTGACCCGATTTTGGAGCAACTTAAAACCCAGTCATAATACATAGGCTGATCGTGCTGCACAGATTATATTTGCTGCTGTTCGTTTTCGTAATTCTCTTTCCGATGGTGTCCTTCGTCCAGAAGTGTTTCATCTTAATCCGGAGAAAAGTGACAAAAGCTGGTTTAACCTCTTAAGGTAAAGTGTGTGTGTGTGAGTTAATATGCTTTTGGTTTATATTCAGTATTATAATATTGTATTATTACTCTAGACATAATATTTATTTTAACATTCTTATAGAAATTCTATTATTATTATTAATCATTATAAAATAAACAATAACTAACATATTGATAATGCACCAGTATAGCCTCTCTTAATGGACACTCTCTATAGCGTACACCTCCATTTAACAGACAGCACCTAGTGTACCAATTACATTCCTTATTGTATAAAATAACCTCCACATAAAGGACACCTCTGTATAACAGAGACACAGTGTCCATTATATAGAGGCACCACTCTACTATCTATTGTATTTTCTATTTTGAATGCATGCTTATATAAGAATAATAATAATAATAATAATATTATTATTATTATTATGATTATTATTTTTTTAAAGGTTTATTCCCCAGTCCTTCTCATGGTATGGCGCTTACATGGTGAATGCTTTCCCCTTGGACATGGTCCAGTATAAGAAACTCTTTGGTACCACTCGATTGCCCTATAAGGAAAGAGATGAACTGGTTACAACCAGCGATAGTAGACATGTCATTATCATGAGGAATAATCATTTTTATGAAATGGAAGTGATACAATCTGATGGTAATAATCATTAACGTTATACAGATGTACAGTATATCCATGTAGCTTATGTTACAGCTATTAATACTAGATACATGTGGTTGTGTATCTCAGAGCTATTGCATTGTGCAGTAGTTTATTAGTTATTTTGTCTCTCTCTCCTCCCCCCTCTCTCTCTCAGGCTCCCCTCTACTCATTACTGATATACATGCTCAATTGGAGGCCATTTTACAAGACTCCACCCCCAGCCCCTCCCACCCTCTCTCTCTACTGCCGTCATTAGATAGAACCGATTGGGCCGAAGCCAGACAACTCCTTGTATCCGACTTGCAGAATGCTCTTCAATTAGAGAAAATAAACTCCGCCTTATTTGTTCTTTCTCTTGACGATACCACACCCACCGAGCCTAAGGAAGCCATGAGTGTATTTTTACATAATTACGGCTTGAACAGGTTAACAGCATTAAAACATATTTTACAAGTACTTAATCTTGTGAGTTGATCCTTCCAATTTATGAAATTAAAGCAGAGAAAGAGAGCTAGGGTAGAAGTAGGAATATCAAAATAGACTTCAAGTGACATTAGTCTGACAGTCCATGGGTTACAGTTGAGGATGTGGTGGTGTGTGTGTGTTTAATGCAGCATGTACCAGCTGTCAATATTGAATTAAATATTCAATCTTCGTTGGATAATCCTTTGTGGCTTTAGAATCAAGTAACTCCAGCAATGTATGGTGTACCTTAGCTAAGACATTTTAAATAATTACTGAAAGAGAAATAAACTACATGTACATCTTATTATACAGTACTGCAGTGCTAGTAACTTAGTACTGGTGTATCAGTGTTGAATGTTAAGTGGTTTA